TCCAGGGTGTCTGATGTTAATTGCTAATGGTGAGGTGTGACATTAGTAATAGCAGAGGTCTGACCATATGTTTAACAAGTTCAAACGAATCTAAAAAGATGCCCTTTTCCATTAGCCTACAGCTAACTCATTAGAATGCCAGTAACCACATAGATTCCTATATATTGGAACCAGCTACAGGGCCCCTTTAGCAAGCTGTAAATGGAAAACGGAAGTGTTGCATGCTGTTCCCTCCAATGTGATACAGAAGACATGGGCAATACAAGATGTTTGTTTATCTAGCTCGGTGCCGCTTTGAAATATTAAAAAACAAGGCAAGTTACCGGGTGGTTTGGAGTGCTCAGGATGAACCTGCAGATAGGTCTGAAAGCAATTTCATCCTAACTCCTGCCATGAATGCAGACGCCTGTGGCAAGCAGTGGCAGCAGAAACTGAAGTTCTCTGCAAAAACCACCCCCGTGTTAACGATTCTGCAGATGAGGGACCAGCTAGAAATAGAGAGTTGTAGAGAGTTGGAAGACTGTTCATCAGAGCCTACATTATCTTGTGTCATGATAAGCACCCTTACTTTCTATTCATCACCCTCCTCTGTAACTGGCCTAGCATCCCTTTGACTATCAGGTACAACCTTTAGAATGACTAACTCAGCTATAACTAGCTTCCAACAACCCAAAGCTAAGAATATCATCAGATAGCATCCGAGACTCATTGCAGAGACTTCCTTGCTGTACTGTAGCCTGCTTGCCTGGTGTCCCCATCATTAGTAACCCTTGCTCCATGGCCGTTTTGTTACGTGATTATAAAAATTTGTGTAACTGTTTACACAGCTGACCACACCATTCAGAGCATCCTGAGTCTATGTTTGTGGGGCACTGTCACAATAGTTGGCTCAAAATAAACTATCTCCTATTTCCTTTGGAGTAAGAGTTGCATTTTGCATTGACATGGCACCACCAATAAATACATCAGATGTTGTTATAACTGGAAGCATATTGATTAAATTTCAGTGAAATCCTTTCTCCCTCAGTAAAGTCTGAGTAGCATGTTCCTACCACACGAGGTGCTCCTTGCCCATCAAGCTTCTGAACAGCCTGCTCTTAAGGTACCTCTGCTATATTCTAAATATTGCTAGGATCATCACACATGTCTGTTCCTGAGGACAGAAGCCTTTGTGATCTAATGGGCACAGTGGGTAGTAAAATGTGACAGCTTTCCACTAACTGGGGAAAAGATGATGGGTATTCATTCAAGTCAACTGTTCTTATAGAATGAAGGGCTTCCTTTTTTGTTTGTTTGTTTGTTTTTTTTTTTTTTTTACTAAATTTAATTTATTTGTAGTTGGCATATTGTTTGGAATTCCGTAAGCTATAGAATACCCAGAAAAGAAAGATGTACATTAGAGTACTTCAAACCACCTGTAGTGTAGCTTCACTGATAATGGTCCTACCCTTTGGGCCATTATCTGCAGAAGTAGAAAAGTAAATTGATCTGTAGGACTTCATAATGCAAGCACTGGTGAAATTTGAATTTCCCTAATAGTGTGTCAGAATCTGATAAACATGAAATGCAAAAAATATTTGCTGTGGTGGTAAAATACTAGTTGAAGGCTCAGTGGGTAAAAGTCCTTGATGATTAGAGTCTTTGGGGTATATGTGTAAGAACCTGAGCTCAACACTCCAGCACCCACACATTGGGCCACATTGGGTGTGGCTCTGTACACATTGGAGACAGGAGGGTCACTGGGTCTTACTGGCTTCTAGCCTAGCTCCAAGTTGAGAAACAGACCCTGATCCAAGGAATATGGCTGAGAGAATGAGAAGGCAGGACACAAATGCTGTCTTCTGACCTCCATACCTGGGCACCAGCATGTACACCTTCACACACGCACATGGCCATATACCATATACACTCATTCTCATACCTAGAGAAATATGTATTAGTTAAAAAGGTTCTCGACTGTATGTCTGGGGGCGATGCCAACTAGTTACTTTCCTCATGGCTGCAACAAAACACACAATGAAAGCAACCAAAGAAGGAAGGATAGGCTTTGGCTCACAGTTTGAGGAGATACAGTCCTTCGTGGTGAGAAAGTCACAGCAGCAAGTAGTTCAAAACAAATGGTCACATTGCATCTACAGCTAAGAAGCAGAGAAGAGGCAGAAACTAGAGTCAGGCTATAAGACCACCAGGCCCACCCCAGTACTTATTTCCTCAAGCACAGATCTACACACTACTTCCATAACCTTCCAAAGTAGCATGTTTGGCTGAAGACCAAGTGTCCAAACACATAAGCCTATAGGAGCTATTTCATCCAAACTACAGCACTGACGGTACAGAAGATGGCTAAGTCTATGATTTTCCCCTCGTCAGCCATCTGCTAGAATGCTTGCATTATGGGGCTCCCTTTTCCATGTGCAGCCTCAGCAGCACCTCAGAACTGGCTTCACTGAGAGGGGAACTATGATTCAGACTTTACTGCAGACGACTATATCTCAACAATGCTCCCCAAAGCCATGCTCATAATCTGCCATTATGATGTAGGACTTGGGAGAAGGTAAATGTCCTGTCAGCCACAATCTCTCCTTATTATTTTTAAGAAGGGCTGGCTTCCATTACCAAAAGCAGATAAGGAACACTAACACCCGTTTGTCATTCCAAACATATAGCTCACTTCGCTGGAGTGAATCATGCTCATCCTGTAGGGAGCTTGGTTTGTTGTTGTTGCTTTGGTTGGATAAAAAAGTCACAATTCAAGGTCAGAGAAAATTCAAATGTGTTTCCGCTGATGAGTTGCTCAAATCTTGCATAGGGTGTGTAGACAATTTCCCAACAGTAATTCTGGCTTTCTAATACTTTCTTTTGCCTTAAATAGAGAGAAAAGCACAAGCCTGACATCATTTCTCACCTCAAATGACAATTATGGTGTAAAACACCATCCTAGAGATTTTAGCTCCATTTTTCAGACAGTCATTCCTTACCAATGTTTTTTATTCAAATAACTCATAAGATGTATGTGGGTCTGCATATGGTAGAAACAGCTCATTTAATTAAATGGAAACTGAGTCTGCTGAGACAGCTCAGTGCCCTTGCAGAGGACCTGAGTTCAGTTCCCAGCAGCCATAACAGGAGGCTCACAATGGCCTGTAACTCCAGCACCAGGGAATTTAGTATCCTCTTCTAGCCTGTGTGTGCATGTACACATAGGCACACAAATAAAAGTTAAATAAGTCTTTAAAAAAATGAAATCCATAAGTGGCGATACCAGGGCACGGCCTGGCACCGGTCATACAGGCTGTGCTCTACTTGCAGATTCCTATGTGCAAACGCTGAGGTTATCACTCATTATTTAGGGTTTCCAAACCAACAGATGGGGAAGCATTCTCGTCCCCTTGGGTAACCCTAGACAGCTCAGAACCAAATACCACACAATTTAAACTTCTTTACCCAAACTGTTGGCCCTGCAGCTTTCCTCATCTCTATGATATCATAGTAATATCATAATAAGATATCACTGTCCATTTCTTAGACTGAGCATTTGTGTGGGTCATTAATGGTTAGATATTGACAACTGTAACCAAATCAACCAAAGCCTGGCCGAAATCCCTTTATTCCCCTGCCCCTGACACTTCAACTCCAACAGGAGCTGCTAAATCCATTTGCCAAATGGATCTCAAATCCATCACTAATACAGTTTGTCTTTTTTTAAAACACAAATCAGGCCAACCACTTTCCATACTAGATTCATGCAGTGTTGAGACAGCAGCTGTCTCCAGGGGCTTTCAGAGCCTGCAGTTCGAGCCCCCGACATCAGCTTCAACCCTATTTCCATCTCTAGTCTAATTCCATGGACCTTTACTTTGGTAAGGATGCCTCTTCCCAGATCAGAGCCTCTGCACGCACTGGTCTCTCACCTGGACCCCTCTCTCAGGACTCTCAAACCTTTGTCACCCAGTAATCTCACTTCATTCATGTCTTGCTGAAAATGGTCTCTAAGATCTCCTCTAAGTCACAGTGGGATTGTGCATGACATATATCCATGGCTCTTTTTCTCTACCTCGGTCCTGACTTAAGCTTTTATCAGACTTAGGTCTAGTGAGCAGGACCACGGTCACTTAAGTGACACTCCATCAAATGTCTGTGGAACACATGGATCCCTCAGAAATATTAAAGTTGTAATTCGTAGTGCATTTCCCTCACAGGTCAGTACCTAAGTTTTCATGTATCCTTTCATATTCTCCCCTCTATCTCTTTTTCTACCCCCTTTTCTCCCTTTTCTCTGCGGTACCAGGGATTAAACCCAGCCAGGGCCTTGTACATGGTTGGCAAATCACTGAGCTACGGCCCCACCCTACATTAATGATTTAAACAAAACAAAACAAAACAAAACAAAAAAATTCTATTAAAAATTCCAAACTCAGGGCTGGAGAGAGCACTGGCTGCATTTCTAGAGGTCCTGAGTTTAATTTCCAGCAACCACATGGTGGCTCACAACCATCTGTAATAGAATCCGATTCTCTCTTCTGGTATGCATGAAAACAGATCACTCATATACATAAATTAAATAAAGAAATCTTTAAAAAAATTTCAAACTGAAAGGCTATGCCAGAACTCTGAGCCCTTTATGGGTATCTGGCTACATTAAGTTGTGCTTATTGTTGTTCAAGAAATACTAATAAAAGCTAACATTGACCAAGTGCTATGAGCCATACACAAGGAGAAAACTGAGGCTGAAGTTCATAGCCAGTAAATGGTGAAGTCACAGTCATAAAGTCTAGAGCATGTTTTGGATGCTCTCAGGACCAAAATCTTGAGGAAACAGCCTTTGAGCCTAGAAGGACACTCTGTCTGGGTACTGCAGGCTGACAGCATGAACCACAGAACCAACCAAAGGAGTCACTTTTATTCCTCCAGGAAGGATCTCTAACACACCTCAGTTGATTTCACTGTCTTCAAGTGGAGGTCTTTCCCAAGCTACATCTCGTTAACAACAGGGTTCCTACCGGAAGAAAGAGTCTCTGGGCAGCACAGGGTTTGAATAATTTCTTCCATTCCTGAGGGTTTCCGACAGAAAACGTGATGGGGTAGAGTCTGTGCTCAAACTTCTTTTTATATGAATCAGGCCACTGGTGCAACTGCAAAAGATGGGAGACACAAGGGTGGTAAGAGGCTGAGATCAATGGAGAACATCCGAAAGACCTCTCTGGCTGACACAGAGATTATCCAGGCGATTCACACAGGAAGTCTAGTTTCATCACTGCTCCTACTTGGTCACTAAGTGAAAGAACATTTTCCTATAATACTGCTAGGACTAAAAACAATGTTTGCTGTTGGTCAGGGGGGTTGGGAGACTGGTCCACAAACACTGCCAAAGGGAATATAGATTTGGATAAACTGCCAAGAGGGCAATTCAGAACAATTCAGAAGCTGGCTAACAAGATCCCAAAGAGAGAGGCACAAGCGCTTTCATCACAATGTAGTTTGTGGCAACAAACCCTGAGGAGAATCTAAATGCCAATTTATAAGGAGTTGGGAAAATAGAAATTATGACAGACTTACATAATGGAATAATGTAAACTAAAGATCTGTATGTTTCAGTGTCATATATGATACTATGTGGCCCAGTGTAGTGGTACATGCCTTCAATCCTGGCATTAGAGAAGCTGAGGTAAAAGGAACACAAGTTGGAGGCTAGCCTGGGCTATGTGAGATACTGCCTCAAAATATTCTAACACGACTCCCTCTAATAGCAAAAAGTATATGCATCTTTACTTCAAGATTTATTTTTAAGTGAACAAGTGTGTGTTGCCCATGAGTGTATGTGCACTGTATGTATAGTGTGTGTGTGTGTGTGTGTGTGTGTGTGTGTGTGTGTGTGTGCCTGTTGCCTGCAGAGACCAGAAAAGGGCATCAGATCCCCTGGAACTGGAGTTAGAGCTGTGAGCCACCCAGTGTGGGTTCTGGGAACTGAACCTGAGTCCTCTGCAAAAGCAGAGAGTGCTCTTAACTACTGAACCATCTCACCAGCCCCTAGGCATATGGCTTTTATTTGTGGAGAAAAATCTAGACAGATAGCATTCTATTACTAAAAGTCGGCATCTCAGTTGCTGGTGCTTATGGGCCTCATTTCTTGTTATATTCTTCAGAACTTTTATAGTGAATATCTTTCTTTCTTGCATATGTTAATACATTTTAAAGACTTATTCTTTAATTCATTTTATGTGTGTGTTTTTCCTGCATGTATGTCTGCGCACAGACATACATGGGTACTGGTGCCTGGTGCCTGAAGGAGACATAGAGGGCATCTGATCCCCTGGAACCAGTGTTACAAAGGACTGTGGCAAGACTCCATCTAACAGCAAAAATATATGCGTCTTTATTTCCAGATTTATTTTTATGTGAACGACTGTGTTGCCTGCATGTGAGCGCCACGTGCATGGGAACCGAATTCAGCTCTTAACTGCTGAGCCATCACTCCAGCCTCTCACTATGTTAAAGTTGTATTTTTAACGGATCTTATTTTCTTCTCTAGTACTTGTAGGTTTTGTTGTATTGTTGATTAAGCTTTACTATTGATATATCTTTTATTAAAGCTGCTGTTAATCCTAAACAGCTGTATAACCAAATCGCCACACAGAGACTATGATTTATTTAGTTAACTTAGAGCACAATGCTGGGCAATAGTTACTCCATCCTAAACCTCCAAGCCCTCATAGTTTCCTAACATTTAGATTCACCCATTACACTTGCTTTTTGTGAAATCTTAGGTCCAGTTCATTCTCCATGTCTTCCAAGATTTCTCCTCCTGCCTCTGCCTTCTCAGCCTCTGCCTCCTCCTCTACATCCCCCCACCCTCACTCTTTCCTGTCCTCTGGCTCCTCCCCTCTCCTGCCTACTCCTTCTTCTCCAATGCTCAACACTGTGGCTGGTTGTTTTATTTTAGCATGTTTACACAAAGTTGGGACAGGTGATGCTTAGAATAAGTATCACAATGCAATGTCTGGACTGAAACCAGAGAATGGGGGAGAGAAACTGGCATTTGAATGAACAAGGGTAAAGTGTATACATTCCAAAAGAACATTATGCCAACATAGGTTTAGAGAAAAATGGAGCAGAAAGCAAACGATTATTATCCTGCCTCTCACCTTACCACACAATTTATCAGATCACACTGCTGTGGCATGTTTGCTGCAATTCATGGGCCAATATCGATTATTAATAACTAATGGGTCAATACTGATTATTATTTAATTGTTTTGAGACAGTGCCTCATTATGTAGCTCAGGCTATCCTGGAACTCTTTGATTCCTGTTTTCTGGAATGTTCTGTCACTGGTCTCACATAGGTCCATCACTAGAGGCTGGCTTCTTTCACTTAGCAATATGCACTTAAGATTCTGCATGGCCTTTTTGTGGCTTGACAACTCATTTATTCTTGCAAGAATTTAAACTGCTCCTCTCTGAAGGGAATAGGAGTAGGAATGGATCATGGGGAGAGGGGAGGTAGGTAGAGAAACTGGGAGGAGGGGAAACTGCTGTCAAGATGTAACATATGAAAAATAAATAAATTCTTTGAAAACTAAAGAAAAAAATTAAGTTTGTATTGGTAAATAATTTTACATTAACAAGTCACTGGCAACTTATGAGGTATGTCTGACTAACAGAATACAATTCGGCCCTTAGTGACCACACTGTAGAACCAGCGTCAGTGAATGATGATCTGAAAAGCTCAATACCCAGCCTCCCACATCCAGGCAGAAGAATTTGACAATTGAAAGTAGTCAAAGAAATCATGGCGATTGGAGGTGGCTCAGTGGTTAAGAGTGCTTACTGCTCTTGCAGAGGACCCGAGTTGAGTTCTCCACACCCACATCAGGTGGTTTACACCTCAGGTGGTTCACAAACACATGTAGCTCTGGAGGGAATCTAAGGCGTCTGGCCTCTGGAGGCAGAGTCACGTGTACATACCCACGCGTACATACACATAGATCCACACGCATATGCATAATTAGAAATAAGAGAGATCTCTAAAAAATCAAGACAGAATCATGCTTCGTGGTAGATAAGATCACATGAAATTTTAGCTTGTATCCCTAAATAGAACGGACTACAGCCACACACCCCTCATGTGAACGTTGTCAGGGCCACTTTTACACTTGAGTAACAGGGGCCGATGTAGTTCCATACACAACACCTGCAAAGCAATGGGTGCTATGGGAAAACTTTAGAAAAGCCAACCCCAGCTTTAGAATCAATGACCTACATACTGTTGGTCGAAGAAGAGCATGGTGTACAAGTTATTTTCTGCTATTTATATGAAAAATACAGTTCTAGTTATTGTGATAAAGCACTGTGCCCCAAAGCATCTTGGGCAGGAAAGAGTTTATGTCAGTCTAAAGCTCACAGTCTATCATGAAGGGAAGTCAGGGCAGGGACTCTGATTGGGAACCTAGAGGCAGGAGCTGATGCAGAAGCTCTCAAGGAACCTCCGTCCTGGCTTGCTCCTCATGGCCTGCTCAGCCTGCTTTCATGCACCATTCAGGACCACCTGCTCGGGAGTCGCCTCCTCCTCCTCCAGTATCAATCCTTAATCATGAAAATTCCCCACGGTTCTGCCTACAGTCCAGTCTGATGGAGGCAATTCCTCAACTGACAGTTCTTCTCCTGAGATGATTCTAGCCTGTGTCAAGCTGACAAAATAACCAGCACAGACACGGAATAAAAAAAAATGCCAAAATTGTTCTCTTTAGCACTACTGTGGTGCTTGGGTCTTTTAAATTTGCGATTCACAATTGGTTATTTGTTTAAAACGTGCACACATCTTTTTTTTTAAACAAGGTTTTAGAAATACCAAGAGCTCTTGAAACTTCCTGAATGACAGGTGAACGTACCTAACATTTGATTAATGCTGAGCACTGACTGAACTGAACCTACACCAGCATTAATACCACGTGCAAGGGCAGTGGCTCAGGAGAACCGACCCCCACTTAAGCACTTAGAGTGGAGGTACTCAACCTTCCTACTGCTGAGACCCTTTACTACAGTTCCTCATGTTGTGATGACGCCAACCATAAAATTACTTCCATTTGCTGCTTCATAACTGTCATTATTTAGCGTTATGAATCGTAACGTAAATGTTTGCTCTGCAGGACATCTGATAAGTCACCCCTGTGAAAGTGCTGTTCGACTCCCAAAGCAGTCATGACCCACTGACCTAGTACCACAGTACCAACCGCTCAGCGAGCACAGGCACACATGCTGGGCACACGCCGAGCCCTCACTCAGCCCTCCAAGAATGTGGGGGAGGGTCTCCCTGACTTTGGACTTCAGTTTCTAATCTCTCTTTCCCACGCATGTCTTCAGTGAGAGCAGCCTCAGTCCATTTACATTGATTACAGTGCACATTTAAATCTATTCCTGCCATGTTCTACGTTTTTGGTTTCTTTCCCATCTCCAGTCTTGGTTTGTTTTACACGAAGGTTTTCCTTTCTTTTCTACTTCTGTATATTACATCCTTTTTTTTTTTTTTTTTTTTGTACTTCTCTTCAGAATCTTAACATCCATATGAAGTCAGATGCTAATTGTCATCATAGACTCACAGAATGTTTAACTATGTTTCAGATGATATACTTTAGTCTGATTTTAACATTTACTTCACAACTTGGGTGTTACTTTAAAGGAAAATCATCCTTCTTCTACTTTACCTATATCTTCTCTTCTTACCTCATGATCCCAACCTCCTTCTGGGGATCTTTTTATTCCATCTTAAAAGTACATCCTATAAAATCTCCTTTAATGGAGGTCTTTTGCTGGTTAATTCTTTCATTCTCTGTATGTAGTTTAACCAGGGGTAGGGGATTTTGATCCAGCAACATGGCTACTCTGGCTGGAATATAGACACACCCTTAGCACACAGCTTTAATCTCAAACAATGAAGGTGAAGGTAGTTTGAAGAAGGAAGCACTTCTGTTTGAAAGGGACATCTAATTGAGAGGCAGACAAAGTGACAAATCAGAGAAAGATTTGACAGAACTGGATAATCCCAACTCTCATGAGGATAGAGAGGAATGAGAACCTACTTGGGAAAGCAAGTAGGAAAGCAGGGAGAGGAGGGCAGTTTTACCAGAAGAGTTGTA